CCAAGGAGCAGGAGGGGACTGACGAGCCTGCCGAGATGTGAGAGGACAGAGAGAGTCCAGAGAGGATGAGAGAGTAGAAAGGAGAGTTTCTGCAGCAGAGTTTGGAGGTAGGAGTTGGAACGAGTCAGAGGAAGGGAGGGCTGAGAGCACCGATGAGGCAAAGGTAGAGGGGGAGAGGGAACGAAGGTTACAGCGGACAGGTGCAGGATGAGAAGAGATTAGTTTGTTATGTTTGGAAAGGGGTAGAGAGAATGAAATGAAGAAGTGATCGGATGTGTGGAGCGGGTTTACAGAGAGGTTAGAAGTAGAGCAGTTCCTTGAGAATATGAGATCAAGGACATTGCCAGCTTTATGAGTTGGTGGGGACGGAGACAGTGAGAAAGCAAAGGCGGTTAACAGAGATGTTACATTACATTACATTGCATTTAGCTGACGCTTTTATCCAAAGCGACTTACAATAAGTACATTCGACCAGGAAGACACAACCTTGAAGAAAACAGAATCATATAAGTACATCAGGTTTCATAGAGCCAAACATTTCAAGTGCTACTCAACTGGCTTTAGGTAAGCCAGTCCTTTATTAGTATATAAGTGCTTTGTTAATAGTTCTATCGCTCGAAGTGGAGTCGAAAGAGATGAGTTTTCAGTCTGCGCCGGAAGATGTGCAGGCTTTCTGCTGTCCTGATGTCAATGGGGAGCTCATTCCACCATCTTGGAGCCAGGATAGCAAACCCACGTGTTTTTGCTGATGGGAACTTGGGTCCCCCTCGCAGCGAGGGCGCAGCGAGTCGTTTGGCTGATGCAGAGCGTAGTGCACGCGCTGGGGTGTACGGTTTAACCATGTCCTGGATGTACGAAGGGCCAGATCCATTCGCAGCATGGTAAGCAAGTACCAGTGTCTTGAAGTGGATTCTAGCAGTTACCGGAAGCCAGTGAAGGGAGCGGAGGAGCGGAGTGGTGTGGGAACATTTAGGAAGGTTGAAGACCAGACGAGCCGCTGCATTCTGGATGAGCTGCAGAGGTCGGATGGCACATGCAGGTAGACCAGCCAGGAGGGAGTTGCAGTAGTCTAGGCGTGAGATGACGAGAGCCTGGACCAGAAACTGCGTCGCTTTCTGTGTCAGCTGGGGACGTATCCTCCTGATGTTGTAAAGCGTGTATCTGCAGCAACGGGTTGTAGCAGCTATGTTTGCAGTGAAGGACAGGTTGTTATCTAGGGTCACACCCAGATTCCTTGCAGTCTGAGTCGGGGAAACAACTGAGGTGCCGATGTTGATTGTTAGGTCAAGAGTGGGACAATCTTTTCCCGGAAGGAAGATGTTAGTTCGTCTATCTTCCCTGTCTGGAGGTTGAAGTCTCCGAGAAGTACAGCGGGAGGACCAGTTTCAGGGATGTGTGAGAGGAGATGATCTAATTCCTCCAAGAAGTCCCCCAAGGCGCCTGGTAGAGAACAACAATGGTTCATTGTATAGGATGGGTTACTGTGACGGCATGGAATTCAAAGGTGGAAGGAGTGAAGTTAGGTAGCTTGAAGAGGGAAAAGCTCCATTTGGGAGAGAGCAGGAGACCAGTGCCACATCCTCTGCCAGAGGGTCTGGATGTATGGGAGAAGGAATATGCTGTGGAGAGAGCTGCTGGGGTGGATGTGTTGGATGGAGTAATCCACGTCTCAGTGAGAGCAAGGAAATCCAGAGACTGCAGGGAAGCGTAGCCAGAGATGAAGTCAGCCTTAGGAACAGCTGACCGGCAGTTCCACAGGCCGCCTGTAACTAGATGTTGGATCTTAGTGGAGCACGTGGGATAGACGAGAGCAGGCCGGTTATATCGATTACGAGATACACGGGGCCAGTGATAATTGCGAGAAGACACATAAACAGGAATGGAGAAAATACACATGATTATAGCATGAGGGGCTAGAAAACCAAATAAAATAAAACACCAGCGATACTTTAGCTCAATCAAAGTAGGATTTGCCTCCTCTTTGCCTCCCTCGTGACTCCAGCAGGACTCTATTGTCTTTGTCAGTCTTACTCCCGCAGGACTCCAATGTCTTCGTCTGTCTGACGCTCCAGGAAAGTGCTACCTAAAATGGACACCTGATTGCTGAGTTCTCACAGATGTGAGGCCACGCCCCTTTAATTAGTTAACTCTCTGCAGCTGGTGGCCCTCAAAAGGAAATCTAGACTGGCTCCCTCCTGACTTGTTATTGTATTTTAAGTGGCCCAATGGTTTTACAATTACATTAAACCCTAAGTTATAAAGTTATGAGTTTAACCCATGATACAGTTACACCTACTCAATAAAGCTCTTAGTATTCTACAAATGTTTAAATCAAAGTTAACCCTAGCAGTCAATTAGTTCAGTGTTAAGGTTTCTGTCAAATGAGTTGTCCAAGTTTCTGCCTGACAGATACTGTAGCGGTTTTGAGATTTAAAATCACAATTTCAGTCAGATCAACTACAGAGCATTGATACAGAGCTTTCCTGTCAAAATCGAGTTGCACACTGAAGAGTAAAGGATGGTGGTCATAATAAATACATGTAATACATTGAAAGCTCACTTCTTATTTTCACTGTTATAGGTATATTCCCATATTTAGGGTTTCAAATGTAATCTTTTTTTTGTTTTGTATAATTGATTTTAACAGGATGAGTGAGGGTAGAACTACATTACATTCAAGATTTTCATGACACCAATAAATTAATTGGCAACATCATTTGACTTAAAATAAAAAGTACCAATTAATAAATTGATACTGCATCCCCACAATTTTTTTCAAAACAAACAAACACTGACTAGTTTTGTAATATCAGTTTCTTATAGATTATTGTTTCCCCGACTCGGACTGCAAGGAATCTGGGTGTGACCCTAGATAACAACCTGTCCTTCACTGCAAACATCGCTGCTACAACCCGTTGCTGCAGATACACGCTTTACAACATCAGGAAGATACGTCCCCAGCTGACTCAGAAAGCGACTCAGGTTCTGGTCCAGGCTCTCGTCATCTCACGCCTAGACTACTGCAACTCCCTCCTGGCTGGTCTACCTGCATGTGCCATCCGACCTCATCCAGAATGCAGCTGCTCGTCTGGTCTTCAACCTTCCTACATTTTCCCACACCACTCCGCTCCTCCGCTCCCTTCACTGGCTTCCGGTAACTGCTAGAATCCACTTCAAGACACTGGTACTTGCTTACCATGCTGCGAATGGATCTGGCCCTTCCTACATCCAGGACATGGTTAAACCGTACACCCTAGCGCGTGCACTACGCTCTGCATCAACCAAACGGCTCGCTGCACCCTCGCTGTGAAGGGGACCCAAGTTCCCATCAGCAAAAACACGTGGGTTTGCTGTCCTGGCTCCAAGATGGTGGAATGAGCTCCCCATTGACATCAGGACGGCAGATAGCTTACACACCTTCCAGACTGAAAACTCATCTCTTTCGACTCCACTTCGAGCGTTAGAACTATTAACAAAGCACTTATATACTAACAAAGGACTGGATTACCTAAAGCCAGTTGAGCAGCACTTGAAATGTTTGGCTCTATGAAGCCTGATGTACTTTATGATTCTGTTTTCTTCAAGGTTGTGTCTTCCTGGTCGAATGTACTTATTGTAAGTCGCTTTGGATAAAAGCGTCAGCTAAATGTAATGTAATGTAATTAATGATGCATACATTGTTTGCCATCCAGTTGGGTATTTTTTATATTTTTTTATAGACTATTTGTGGAAAATAATTTTATATTTGGACGTTTTTGACAGCCTATTTCGGATATCCCAAGTTCTTTTATTTTATAACATTTCCAAAAGGCATGTCTGAGGGAGTCACTCTCAGTTCAACATTTTAGATAGATAGATAGATCTTTAATTTGTCATTGTACAGGTACAACGAAATTACAATGAACTCAAGGTGCCAACACGGAACAACAAGACAATATAAAAACAACAAGACAATATAAAAACAAGAAATTGGACTTATATAGGCATGATAGGGAATATGAGGAACTGCTATCAAATGTATCTATTTTCTCCCTCTATAATACATTGTTGTCATTAGTTTATATTGAATTAATCGTAGATTTCCGCTTGTAGTCGTTTTTTATGTAAGTTGTAAGCATTCCTTCCGTTTTAGTTTAGCGTCTTCTACGTCCAGGTCTTTGTTCCACTTAGTGTAAATATAGTAATCCCCATTGTCCTCAGCACTGATACAGATATTATATACCGCTCAGATTAATGTTCTCTTTTTAATGTTTGCTTTTAGAATTCCCCTTCAGTTGAAACTCTGTTTTTAACTGCATACTGTCATACGGGGGGTTTTCCTTTCAGCGAGGGCCCACCCCGTGCAGATCACGGACCCACATGGGTGGGGGCGTCCGAAATGAGGTGCTACATCTGAACATGAAGCCTTTTTCTAGTGCTTCCATCCTGATTGATGAGTCAACAGTAAAGCAGTTCAGTCTTTATGGTCATGTGACATGTGTATGTATTAATGGTTCATGTGTGTAGCATGTTTAATGGCCGTGTTATGAAAATGGCAAACTAGTGAAAATGTCAGATTTCTGTGTCTTACTTAGAGAACCGTGTGCAGTGTTTTGCAAAAAGTGCAGATTGGGTGCAGAGCTGAAAATGTGTTTAGAGTTTTGAGCTCAGGCTCTTTGAGTGTGAGTTTAACTAATTATGCTTTATGTGATATTTTAGTGTGTTAGCAACTGAAACTTTAATATCATCTCCACATGTTCCTGTGAAAGCTTCTTCACATGAGACTCTTTGGATAGTGACAGGAGATCAACAGCTGAGTGCTGATGCTGGTTCCCTTTCCTTATCTCTTATTTTACAATAATAAGCATTAGGTCTGAGATCATTGATGACCTGCTGATGAAGATCAGGCTGTTAGACATCATTCTCAGTGAATATGAGACGTCAGTCTGAATGGTTTCTGTCAGTCAGTAAAGTAGTTCATAAATGAACAGATGATAACCTGCAGCTGTTCTCTCCATCAGATGCCTGTGAACTGGAGCTGGACTCAAACACAGCTCACAGAGGACTCAAACTGTCTGAAGACAACAGGACGGTGACACGTTTGACGAGGGAGCAGCCATATCCTGATCATCCAGAGAGGTTTGAGAAAGAGCCTCAGCTGATGTGTAGAGAAGCTCTGACTGGTCCCTGTTACTGGGAGGTCGAGTGGAGCGTAAGGGTTTATATATCAGTGACTTACAGAGGAATCAGCAGGAGAGGAGAGAGTAAGGACTGTGCGTTTGGAAGGAATGATCAGTCCTGGAGTCTGAACTGCTCTGATGATGGTCGTTACTATGTCTGGCACAATAACAGCGCAACAAGCATCACCTCCTCCTCCTCCTCCTCCTCCTCCTCCTCCTCCCCCTCTGGTAGAGTAGCAGTGTATCTGGATCATCCTGCTGGCTCTCTCTCCTTCTACAGAGTCTCCTCTGACACACTGATCCACATCCACACCTTCAGAACCACATTCACTGAACCTCTCTATGCTGGTTTTGCGTTCTCTTCCGATGGTTCCTCAGTGTCTCTGGTTCCTCTGCAGGTCTGAGAGTCTCTCCTCAGTGTCTCTGGTTGCTCTGCAGGTCTGAGAGTCTCTGGTTCCTCTGCAGGTCTGAGAGTCTCTCCTCAGTGTCTCTGGTTGCTCTGCAGGTCTGAGAGTCTCTCTTCAGTGTCTCTGGTTCCTCTGCAGGTCTGAGAGTCTCTCCTCAGTGTCTCTGGGTCCTCTGCAGGTCTGAGAGTCTCTCCTCAGTGTCTCTGGTTTCTCTGCAGGTCTGAGAGTCTCTCCTCAGTGTCTCTGGTTCCTCTGCAGGTCTGAGAGTCTCTCCTCAGTGTCTCTGGTTCCTCTGCAGGTCTGAGAGTCTCTCCTCAGTGTCTCTGGTTCCTCTGCAGGTCTGAGAGTCTCTCCTCAGTGTCTCTGGTTCCTCTGCAGGTCTGAGAGTCTCTCCTCAGCGTCTCTGGTTCCTCTGCAGGTCTGAGAGTCTCTCCTCAGTGTCTCTGGTTCCTCTGCAGGTCTGAGAGTCTCTCCTCAGTGTCTCTGGTTCCTCTGCAGGTCTGAGAGTCTCTCCTCAGTGTCTCTGGTTCCTCTGCAGGTCTGAGAGTCTCTCCTCAGTGTCTCTGGTTCCTCTGCAGGTCTGAGAGTCTCTCCTCAGTGTCTCTGGTTCCTCTGCAGGTCTGAGAGTCTCTCATCAGCAGTGGTTGCATTAGACTTTTTCGTTGTCCGTCATTTTGACGGATAGGATTGTAACATTTCCGTCATAATCCATTATTAACCGTCATTTTATTTGTCATGTTTTAAAACCTGTTAAGCCCCAAAGAACCCGCCGGTGGGGCTTTTTTTTTATTTCAGCCAACTGATGATACAAACCATTTTTACCGAAACAAAACACTAGTCTCACAAGAAGGGTCTAAATGAGCCCTGAGCGAAAACATGCTAACGCACTTAGCACAAAACTCTAGGTATAAATCGATCGATATACTTCGGATCCGCACAAACAAGCTTAGCTAACAAGGTGAGATTCCACAGATTATAGAAATATAAGTGTCACCACTGAGCGATCTGAACTCGTGACAGGGGAAGCAAATACAGACAACACACAACGTAGCTTTAGGTAGCAAAACACGGAGATATGCTCACCTTAGCTGTTGTTCTGATCAAAAGTCGTGTTCAATGGCATTAAAACGAGAAAAACGCGGCTGAAGGTTAATCCATAGGTTAATCCAATGTGTCTGTCACTTTGAAAAAATTATTGATAATCCATAATTCTATTTTTATGTAAAAATTGGAGAATTAATATTAGCTGCTAATGGTAGTCACCAGAGTGTATCGCAGCTTCAGGTTTTGGCTACGCGTCGCTCTCCCTCCTTATTTGGTAACGTGTGTGTCCTCTTTTTTCACCTCGTTTATCCACACCATCACAATTACTGGGCTTATTAAAAAAGCTTCGGACACTCAGCTGCGGTGACATTTTGCGATTGCTAAAGCCGGTTAAACAACGAGGCAGGGGCGGTGCCAGGGATATATAGCAACTCCAACAATTGGCCTTGCAACGGCTTAGCAACCCCATTGTTTTGTTATGAAAATGTATCTATATATATTTATACACATTCTCCCTCAGTTGACCTGGCCACTAAGGATGTAATATAATGTGGGCCGCTGGTGGATATTATATTTAGCTGATCCCACATGTTTTAGAGAAAAGTGTAATTTGTATTCAAGGTAAAGGTGTGTTTCCTCTGATCTCTTTAATGATAATAATGAAACAGCGTGCAGTGATGAGCAGGTGCTCGGACGGCCTCAGGCGTGTCAAGTTTCTTTAGTTGACCCATATAAATCCTCTAAAATGTGCCGTTTCTCACTTCTCGAAATGTCGACTCCTCGATCCTCCGGTAGTGACCCGGAAATTGATGTCAGCGCGTCTATGTCCATCTTGAAGGACATCTAATTTCTCTAAATGCACATCGAGGGTCGAGCATCGAGGAGTCTCTCTTGAGGAGCTATAACAGAGGATACACTGTGTTGAGATCTTCATAGTATGTTGAATACTTAAAACGAAAGTTAATTATAATCAAGTAAAATCAATTATATTCTTGTATAACTCACAATGAAAATGTTTCCTATGTTATGTTTTTCTATATTTACAGTATGAACAAAGTGGTTTGTTAAGTTGAGTGTAAGGCCTATAATGATTTATGGGTGTCACTGATAAGGGAGAAGGCAGTTTCTTCCCTCTCCTCTCACAGCAGTACACAGGGAGGGGGGCTCCGGACTTAAGGAGAAACACACTGAGGCCCCAAAAAGGCGGTTATGTCATAGCCGAGAATAATATTTTGAAAGTCCTGCAGGGGTCATGTCCTTTTTACACAAACATGGATATGGAGGAGGTGTCTTTAGGTTTCTATATCCTGTTTTCGAGCACTGGCGGATGGGGAGGAACTTACTTTTTGGGAGAGAGCGAGAGAGAGGGGGGGGGGGGTTCCCCTGGTATGCTCTCTCTCGGTAAGCTCTGTCCCTCAGAGCTGGGTTTTTGCTCTCTGTAAGGTTCTCTCAAAACTTGGTAAATATCTCTCAAATTTCTTGGTTGAATGCTGAGTGAATTTCTTTGTGAACTGAGTGGAATTATTTGATGGGTGATGTGTTTGTGAATATTAGTCCCGCCACCTGTGAGGAATCTTCCTCCGAATTCATGCGGATAGGAATGGGTTTTTGAATGTTATTCCCACCACCTGTCTCGGAAAAAAGGTATGAAATTGATGTGAATTGATTGGGTGAAAATTAAAAAATGAAATTTTTATTATCACCGGTCTTTTATGAGGAAATGCCTCTAAATTCTATCGGGAGATTTCAAAATCACAACTGAATTGGGCAGTTGAAATTACAATGTTGGTAATAAATGTAAAACTATGAATTAAAGTTTCATATTTGAACATGATCACAGCATGATATGTTTAGTATGATTATAATGTTGTGAAGAGAGAAGGTAAAAACCCTGTATTAGTTTGGACCTATTTTTCTTCAAATAAACTGATCCCACCTTTTGGATTGGGACAACTTAAAAGACTTCTGCGCTCTCCTCTCCTGCTTCAAATGTAAGATTGCATCCTGCCACACTCACACTTAGGTAGGGCCACACCTCATTTACTGATATCAAAATCCTTTGGGATCGCTTAAACAGATTTAAGAGAGTTGTCTGAATTGAAACAGCAGTTAATTGAACCTGGTTCTTCGGGGAGTTAATAGAGGTGAGATCTTGCTGACGTTGGTGGATCTGAGCCAAGCAGTAAACTTACATAGACTCAGTAACTTCGGTTAGGTCAATTAGTGGGTCTGTGTAATTTCCCGGAATAAATTATCAGCCCTCACCGACTCTAACAACTCGATGATTAATATACCCGTTTTAGGAAAAGTCACGAAGTTTGAGATGTTTTTTACCCTCAACCAAACAACAAGACCTGTAACACAGCAATGTCAGAGTCACCGGCGGCCGGCTACCCCAATAAACAGACGTCACTGACCGCTTAACAGCGGAACAACAATGCCCCGCCATGCCGTGTATCGTCACACATACACACAAGTTCTTTAGAAAACGTACGAACACGGCTCACAGCGAACATGTATAACACTTACATTTCCGCCATGGTCTACATGCGCTTGTACGTCGCCACCATGTTTCAATGGGGAAACCGTATTCAACACAACATCGGACAAGGCTGGCCTGTAAAAATACAATTCAAGGCTAAGTTTCAACACAGCGGCAACTTTGTCATATCCCAATCAATGCTGTGTGTACAGTGATAGCGTTATATGTCTGACTCGGTTTACTATAACACCGGTCACCTCACCATCAAAATGCATTATAAACCCCTACAGGTGCTTGAACATAAATTCAACCGCATCTGTAGCTAAGCTAGCAAAGCTAACTGTGGTGGGTAGTTGAACTCATTGTATCTATCTTTTGGTTTAAATAGTACAGTGTAGAGCTGATGAAAGGGAGTCAGAGGCGGTGTGTTCAGTATGGAACTCCACACTTTATTATCCATTAGAAAGAAGACAAGGTAAGTACATCTGCTTGTTGCTACTCAAGCTAGCATGATTGACACCAACCCCGGTACCCTCACTAACGGGTCCGTGTTGCAACACAATATTCCCAACGGTGAATTATGTCCCCCCCAGAATTCACCCATAAACAAAGTCAGCGTGGCGGGGAGGAACGACAGGTCGACCCCCACGACTCCTGAGCACGGGAGGCGGGAAAACGACCTCACCGGTTACACATAGGCGGCCTCCGGAAGAGGCGAGACCGGAACAATGGGTCTCAATTCGGTGACAGGGATCAAGGCCGGGGGGCGCCTCCGTCGCGGAGGTCGTGCCAGCACCACCGGCTGGTCCAAATCCAAGTGGGCCGCCTTCACCCGGTCCACCGAGACATTCTCTGCCTTACCACCCAGGTCGACCACAAAATGTTTGTCCCCGTGTTCCAAAACCCGGAAAGGTCCATCGTACGGGGGCCGCAGGGGGCCTCTGTGCGCATCGTGTCATGCACTTCGCTCTGCATCGGCCAAACAGCTCGCTGCACCCACACTGTGAGGGGGACCCAAGTTCCCATCAGCAGAAACACGTGGGTTTGCTATCCTGGCTCCAAAATGGTGGAATGAGCTCCCCATTGACATCAGGACAGCAGAAAGCTTACACACCTTCCAGACTGAAAACTCATCTCTTTCGACTCCACTTCCAGCGATATAATTATTAACAAAGCACTTATATATAGGGGTGTAACGGTATCCGTATCGTCACGGTTCGGTGCATGCAATCACACGACGAATACGCCTTTTTTTTACGAGTGGGAAAAAAGTCTGTCATTCAGGGCAGTATCCATTACACTATTTATAATCCAGGGGGCGGTATTGCGCTTAAAAGCTGTTTGCCAGCCGCCCTTTAACAACAAATGAAGAAGAAGAAGAAAAGTTAGTATGGCGAGTTCAGATAACACACAAGAGCTAGAAGAACCACCTGCTTCTTTTAAATCAGCTGTGTGGGAACATTTCGGGTGGTGGATCGGATGAGGACGGTGTGTCGGCGTTGTTAGACAGCGATGCGCTATGCTAATGGTAACACACGCCAAACATGCTAAATCATATCAGAAGGCATCCCCCAGATTTGCCAATCATCGGACAACAGCATTTCAACAGCTTCTCCCCGCTGTTTTTAAGAAGCCAATAGACATGAAAGCAGAGAGACCAAAATAAATAACGGAAGCTTTTAGCATATGTTTTTCAACTGCTATGCACCCTTATGCAATAGTGGAGAGGACCCCGTCTTTTATTGATAGTGATTGAAAGTGATTGAAACACTATCTTATTATTTATTTTGTAATATTTTCAAGACATTCTTTTTAGTTTTACAGCTTATTGAATATTTTTGTTTGACATCAGCCATTATAGATAATATGGCCATCTGAGTGTGTGTGGTACTGTTTGTTTTTAACTGTGTAATAAAGTTAATTATTCAAAATGTTCCTTAAAAAATGTTTTCCTTATTTTTTAAACTGAAACTTGCACTACTGTTCAAAATAAATTAAAAACAAACCTGGAATTATGCATTTGGGACTTTCTTTTGCTTTTTCTTGTTGTACCGAACCCGTACCGAACCGTGAATGCTGTGAACCGTTACACCCCTACTTATATACTAATAAAGGACTGGCTTACCTAAAGCCAGTTGAGTAGCACTTGAAATGTTTTAGCTCTATGAAACCTGATGTACTTATATGATTCTGTTTTCTTCAAGTTTGTATTTTGTTGGTCGAACGCACTTATTGTAAGTCGCTTTGGATAAAAGTGTCAGCTAAATGCAATGTAATGTAATGTGTCGGACGAAAACGAGCTGAGCTCCACAGGAACCCGGGACACCTGAGTACCGTGCTGGGCAGTGGGAATCGGAGCAAAAACCTCAGCGGCGTCCTGCAGGAAAGCCCGGGGGTCCGTCGCCGACCAGGGAGCCGATGCGTTGGGGAGGAAATCCCCTGGAACCCTCAGCGGCTGACCGTAGACCATCTCCGCCGTGGAGCACTGCAGATCTTCTTTAGGCGCGGTCCTCAGGCCTAGCATCACCCAAGGCAACTTGTCGACCCAATTGCCGTCCGTCAGGCCTGCTATGAGTGCCGCCTTCATGGAGCGATGGAAACGTTCACAAAGTCTGTTAGCCTGAGGGTGATAAGCGGTTGTCCTGTGAAGCTTAACTCCCAAACCTCTCGCCACAGCGTTCCAGAGCTCGGACGTGAACTGGGAACCCCAGTCTGAGGAAATGTCTGAAGGGGTGCCAAACCGACACATCCACGTTGCGATGAAAGCCTGGGCTATGTCAGCCGCCGACGTCGACACGAGAGGAAATACCTCTGGCCAACGGGTCGTCCTGTCCACCATAGTAAAGAGATAGGAAAAACCCTGAGAGGAGGGTAATGGACCAACCAGATCGATGTTGACGTGATCAAACCTCCTCTCAGGTACCAAAAAACGTTCCAAAGGAGCCTTCGTGTGGTGGTGCACCTTAGCGCGCTGAGAAGCCAAGCACTCACCAGCCCAAGTGCTCACGTCTTTTTCAGCCCACGCCAGATTAACTTCGCGGCAACCATTCGCACCAAAGGTTTCCCGCCGGGGTGTGACAGGCCGTGCACCTCCTCCAAAACGGAACGCCTCCAACTGGCGGGAACGACCGGACGCGGCAGGCCCGTGGAGACATCGCACAGGAGAGTAACGGCCGCGTCACCGAAAACCACGTCATCACTTTTCAGGGCCTGGACGCTGGGGTCTGTGACCTGGTCCGCCGCCATGCGGGTATAGTCCCTACTGGACGGCCCTGATGATGACTCTGGAGACGCAATCCGCAACCAGGTTCGACTTGCTAGCCACGTGCTTAATGTCTGTGGTGAACTCCGAAATGTAGGAAAGCTGCCTCTGTTGACGAGCAGACCAAGGCTCTGCTACTTTAGACATGGCGAAAGTGAGCGGCTTGTGGTCAACGAACGCCGTAAACTCACGGCTTTCCAGCAAAAAACGGAAGTGCCGCACGGTCAGTCAGAGTCCAAGGAGCTCTCGGTCAAAAGCGCTGTACCTGCGTTCTCTGTGCGTCAACTGACAGCTGAAAAAGGCAAGTGGTTGCCAAGCACCCTCCACCCACTGCTTGTGCACCGCACCAGCGTCGTAGTCCGATGCGTCTGTGGTAATGGAGATGGGAGCTGTGGATGACAGGTGCGCCAACAGGGCCGCCTGAGCCAACGCGGTCTTGACCTCCATAAAAGCAACCTCAGTTTCCGCCGTCCAGTCGATCGCCTGGATGGGGGCCTTACCCGTCAAAGCGGCCGCATAATGTGGGTGGCCCGGGCGATGAAACGGTGGTAGAAAGTCACCATCCCCAGGAACTCACGGAGCGACCGGGCTGTGAGCGGGCGAAGAAACGCCGCAACAGCCTCAACCTTTGCCGGCAGGGGTGCTGCACCGCCTTTGGTGACGCGGTGTCCGAGGAAATCAATGTCAAACACCCCGAACTGGCACTTTGCAGGATTGATTATCAACCCGTGTTGGCTGAGCCTCGTGAAAAGGGCTCGGAGGTGGGACAGGTGCTCTTCCACCGAAGCGCTGGCGACGAGTATGTCATCCAGGTAGACAAACACAAACGGCAAGTCCCGCAGCACCGAATCCATCAGGCGCTGGAACGTTTGAGCGGCATTCTTGAGCCCAAAAGGCATCGGCAGGAACTCGAAAAGTCCAAACGACGTTAT